TTATTATTTATTATAAAAGTAGGTTATTTTTTTTATTGAATTATTTCTTTCTGTAGAAGAAATATTTTATAAGAAAACAAAAGAAGAACACAATAATAATTATTGTGTTTGATTATGTAAGCTTATTTATTATTTAAACACACCAACCAGTCATCAATCATCGTAATACAGTTCACTCACCTGTATTTGTTAATTTCAATCATTTATTTTGTATTTTATTAAATAGCACGCACTACTTGGTTGAATATTATTAATAACATATATTAAGTTCTATTCACATAAATAGGAGTGCATAAAATGTAAGAGCACAATCTCACGATTGTAAGTGCCTAATAAGGCTCTGCTAACCTGGTACTTTTAACTCCGCCCAAAAAGGTGAGCATAACTTTTCTATCGGCCAATCTACGACCACGCAATCTTATAATTGTGATGAATAATTTAGTCGGGGAGATGGCTACATTTTTGGGTTATGTATTAAAATATAAAATAAACACATTTTTAAATTACAAACAGACGCTTTAAAATTATAAAACATACTTAAAACTATGTTACAAAATATTATAAATGTAAAGGCTTAGATGGAAATTTGGATGTTTATTACTCATCACGCCAGAACAGCTGGACGGATCTGGATGAAACTTGGCTATAGATAGATTATATAGGCTACTTTTTATCCCGGAACGGTTCCTGTGGGATAGATCTGTTTTTGTTTTTCTAGAGGTGAACCCAAGCGAAGCGAAGGTTAGCCGCTAGTATACTACAGAATTTAATTTGTGTTAGCGATTTTACTGGAATATGGATTCAGGACGTGTTAGAGAATAGAAGCGTACCTATATAAGTAAAAAAAAATCATTTATCCGATTCTGCTGGTAGCTGGAAGCAGTTTGGGTTCCTAGGGTTATATTTAATTACTGGGAAACCACGTGGCTCGAGCTACATTGTATTTTATACATATATGTTGTTAAATATTTAATAAATTTGTTTTAGCATGCTTTTTGAAGTGAAACTTCTTTAGAATCGTTATGGATTGAAACTCGATGAAACGGAAATGCCACACTAAAAAGAGACAAATCTATACATATAATAAAATTGTAACGAAGCCGAACCTGAACATTAAATATTTTTTGGAAAATCATATTGAAATAGACATTATTATCGATACAAAGGCCGAATCTATAGTTTTTAGAATTTTTGTCTGTCTGTCATACAAAATAAAGCCATTTTTACTTTGTTTTAACCTTTTTTTCTGCGATCATCCCAGGAGGTATACATGCTTTCGTGCCACCCGCGCTATTTTTTCTTAAGATCTATTGATCGAGTTAAAAAATAAACCAGTTTGCATGAATAGGAGTGCAAAAACTGATAGAATACTAGCGCTTATTCGCAAGATCACAAATCCTGCTAGCCTGGTAGGTACTTATACTCGTCCCACCGACAATGTAAGTAAATATAATTTATTTGTTTAAAATATCTACGCACCGCAAACCCCATCATTTATCTTGTTTAAAAGTATTTATCGTGATCTGGATATATCCGTGTCATAAGGTAGCAAAGAGTTATGAATAAAACGCTGTTGTTTTTCTTTTTTTTTTGCTTGTTGTGTTTCCATCTATTAGAGTCGAGAATTCTAGTAATAAGATTTATCAAAAACGATTCAAAATTGGCGAAGATGTCCATTAAAATACCCACAAAATAGGTACAGACCAATTAAGTACCTTGGCCCAAATTCAAATTAAGCCAAAAATTAAGTGTCTAACGGAAAAAACTGTACCAGCATTATTCATTTCAGCTTCTTGAAACCTGGCACAAAAATTGCTGAGGAGGATCACTGTAAAGAGTTGCAAATGACGATCGGCAAAATCCCTATAAAATAAGCGAAACGTGACAATTATTCTAGTATTTCTTGTCTTTATCATAATTCTTGTCATCATATCGCACAACGACCGTCTCAAAAGGACAATAGCTCCAACTAGAAATTCACCTGCATTCACCAGGTTCACCAGATTTTACTCCAATTATTTTTTTCTCAATTTGCATGATTTTTACAGGGATACATTTCTGCTCGCCCTGAAAGGGCTCAATGATGGCTAATCCCATAAATATTATAGATATAAATGCGAAAGTTTGGATGGATGGATGTTTGTTATTCAATCACGCCAGAACGGCTGAACGGATCTGAATGAAATTGGGCACAGAGATAGATTATAGTCTGGAATAGCACATAAGTTATTTTTAGCCCGGAAAAATGTAAGGTTCCCGTGGGGTAAATTTTTGTTTTTCACGGAGAACCATTAAACTAGTTATTAAGCTCGCTAGTAGTTAATACTACGTTAAATTAAATATATGTATAGGTATAGTTCATAAAAAAAAAGTTGGCCGTCACGCCACGTTGGATGGGACGCCCGGCTGATGTGAAACATCTATGTTAATATTAGAATTCATAATTAATAAAAAGATTAAAAACCTGTAACGAAATATGGAGTAAAATAAAGAAAAATAGAGTTTTGTTAATAAAATCAATTTATTTTTCTTATTACGAGTATTTTAATTACGATAATAGTTACATAATATATAAGTATATATTCATAAATAGAATAGAAAATATATAAGTACTTTTAATATAGAGACTGTTTTACAATGGAGCGTATGTATATAGTTAATGCGCTCGCGCACCCAAGGGATTAAAACGCGGTGGTGTGAAAGGGCATGATGGCATAACAGCGTCCTATGGCGTTTGCCGTCACGGCATACGAGTAAGTTTTACTGCCAAGGCGCGCCAATAGATGTTTCACATCAGAAAACAGTTTTAGTCCATATTAAATGGCGTAGGTAAAACTGTCAGAGAATCAAATACGTAGATCAAGATTCAAGAGTGATCACGATTTACTTATTAGGGAATCACTCAGTTCTTCTCTTTTCTCACAGATGGACAAGGAGGCCTCATTATCAACTGTATCAGATATGTATTTGTAATTACACCTAGGTATTTGTTGCAATTTGTCATTGGTGAGTTCAGTCGAAATAGTTTTTATCAGTGTTTATTTATTTCACTTTTAGAAACAATATCAAAGGCGATTACTAATTCTTTACACAATTGTCAATGTCTTGTAAATTGAACTAGTCGGCTACAGATTGGCCTATATTCCTCCCACTCGATTCCGATTCGGCAGTTGCATCAGGGCACGGTTCGCGGTTATTTTTGGCCGCGTGACTGCTTAAAGACATGACGAGGCGCCATGAGATCACCGATTCTCATTATTGGCCAAATGGGGATATTGTCGGGCATGACAAAAAAAGCAACTGTCACGCATGTGCAATTGTCTCAACGTCTCGGCCACTGTATTTATTACTTTTATGGAACTTAACGAGTTGTTTTTAGCGGGGGCTTTTGTACTTAAGCTCAATGTTTCAGATTTTCTTCTTTATATTTATGTAAACAGCTTTGTCATAAAAGTCAACACAATCTAATGGTTAACTCATAACTGTTAATATAAAAATAAAATTTAAAAGTTTTGTATAATAATAAAATTGAGTTTCTACTTAGAATTGCACTTACATATAAGGCACAATATTTCATTCATAAATATACATTTTTCATAAATTAACTTTCTTCATGAATACAAGTGGTAGTGCCTTTTATTTAACTCACTTTTACATGTTGTCTGTTTGTTCAATAGCTTCACATGGGTAAAATAACAACTGTTGGATTTGTGCCTAGTAAACAAAGCTTATGCCACACAAATTTCAATATAAACATAACCCATATTTTCTTATTATTGTGGTTTTAACTTTGTACCTACTTCTTATTGTTATATTTATTTGAAAAATATTTTCATCCGATACAATAATTTTAATTTCAAATCAAGTCATATCACATACTCGTATCGAGATGACCTGATGTGACCGTTGATCACAATAATTTTCCTTCTTTTTTTAGACTAATTTAGTTTTTTCTATTTTAAATCATTGTTCAACATTTTATTTTAAAACAAAAGAATTTGGTATAATTATAAATATTAATTTATTTCAATAGCACAGATTTATCGACATTTTGTGTTTTAGCAGTCATCTGCAGCAAGTATAACTAGTTGCTATGAAAGTATGTTATTGCACTTAGCGATATCTAATAAAGCGCTACTAAAATTTTATTTCTATGCGTTAAAGACAGACTTCCGGATATAATATGTAATTGGTGCAGATTATTATGTACATAAGTACATATATTAAAATGCTTAATAGTCAATTATAATAGCCATTAAAATCTCATTAAAAAATTTACTTAATAAAAGCAAGTGAAGTAAACCTAATATGTACTCGAATTTATTCATTATTTGAGAACGAAGTTATATAGACTCAAAAATATATGCCTGCTACATCTTAATATTTTACGATATGTTTTTTATTTTGTGGGTTTATAGACGTGCCATTTGGACACAGCACATACTTACATCTTAATAACCACTCTAGTGTATAATGACTATACATAATTTTACCATCTACCGTTCTGTTACTGTAAATTAATCTTTGACATAAAATGTTGAAAGTACGACGGTCTCAATCAATGGAAATGTAATGTAGGTACGTTACCAGTATGCAAATAACTATTACAATTTGTTATATTTGTTAAATAAAACTTAGTAATTCTTTTAAAAAGACTGATGTCTCTGATTTAGATTAAAATTTATTTCTGATAGGTGATTTCTCGATCAGCGTGACTGTAGAATGGTTTTTAATTGAAACGCTTACTTCCGCTTCCGTGTCTGCTGGATTCGACTCTCAGTTATTGTGTAACATTCACTCCCTGCCTACTATACTGTGTTTTGAAGCTACATTTTTGTAAATTAAATTGCAATAAAACTATGTTAAGTTCATAAAGCCTTTTTAGATTTATGTAAATATTTGACATTTTAAATAAAATTAACTCTCCAAACTTTTTTGTGCACAACAATTCGAATTTTTTTATAATTTAGAATTGGTACGTCCAGGGCTACTGTTTCATAATGGCCGCCAAACAGAATCTCGGAGATTTGCAATTTGTGTTTAGAAATGGGGTCAAGATGCCAGCTGTAGGATGTGAGTATGGCCACTTTATTATTATTCCGGGAAAGATCCATAAAGAAAAAAATAATAAATAGTTATACAACCTAAAATAAACATATAAATATAAATAAATAAATATAAATATGTTGGTATATATAAGCATACTAAAAGACTACCTCGTTTTTTCCAGAAATGCTTTCTCTACTTAAGATGATCGAGCTTATTTTCAATTAAGTCGTTAAATACTAAAGACTTATCATAGTTTAAACGCAGAAGATGCTGGCAATAAGTTAATTAATATTATGTAATAGAAACGTTTTTGTTTTCAGTAGGAACGTATCGTGTCCGTGACAATGAAGTTTTACATAGAGCAATTGATTATGCTCTAGGGGCTGGGTACAGACTGTTTGGTAAGTGTGAATCCAATGTGACTTACAAATTCAGAGCCTCACGTACTGCAGACTTTCTATAGACCAAAAGACCGAAGAGAAGTCGGTGCCAGCCGACGCATAGGAAATCTAATATAGTTTGATACGTAAAATACATATTTACCTGTTAGATATTCATATCTTAAAATATTGTTCGCCGGCACCGACTTCGGAAATATCTGATTAGGTATCTATTATAAATGAAAACCCCCATTTAGTTTTTTTTACATTTTAGTGCCTGGAATTTTTATTTTTATATTTTTAGTGTAGATGTAATAAGCAGGTAATTTGTAGGAAGAAAGTTTTTAATAACATATTCGATTAAACAATTTGTTGAAAAAAATATATTTATTGTTGATTTTTTTTTAAACCCCTCGACCGATTTCGATAAAATTTATATGGGACTACCTGAGAAGTACACCCTTTCAAACAAAACAAAATTTTTCCACATCGGTTCAGGCGTCTTCGAGTAATCGGTGAACATACAATAACAAAAATGATTCAGACGAATTGAGAACCTCCTCGTTTTTGGAAGTCGGTTCAAAGACGAGTGTACGTGAGCTCTTAAAATTTGTTCAAACTTTGTACATCTCATATAAAGCTCTCACTTTCAGACACTGCTGCAGTCTATCATAATGAAAAGTTCCTAGGAAACGCGTTAAGACAATTATTACCAAAACATGGGCTTGTCCGCGAGGATGTCTTTATTACAACTAAATTGTGCAAGTATATTTGATGTATTGCTTATAATTTTCAATTTGTACAATCTTAATCTATGATTGATTATAATGACGATTCTGAATAATATTTTAAATAATAAATTCGTAAAATAGGGTTTAATTTTTTGAAATATTTTTAGCCCCATCGGACCTTGGAGGTGAATTTGTTCAAAATGCATTTGAAACATCTTTACAAAATTTAGGATTTGACTATATAGACTTGTATCTAATCCATTTTCCTGGTGCGGCCAGAATAAATGCACAAAACCCCAGAAATGCGGCATTGCGCGTTGAAACTTGGGATGCTTTCACTAAACTTTACGAGCAAGGTAAGGTCAAAGCGATTGGGGTATCCAATTTTACAGTGAAACATCTGTCGCAATTAGCCGAAGGAAGCAATGTATTACCAATGGTAAACCAGGTGAGTTTTTTCATAGTTGCCTTTTAGTTAAAGGAGATTTTTAATGTAAATAATGCTTGATATTGCTTATAATTTTTATGAATTGATATTAGAACTAAATATTACTATTCATATTATATATTCTGTCATTACATCACTCATATTCTTTATTAAAGCTTGATTGGTAACGAAATATTTATCATGATTCTAAGATATTTTTATAAATTATTAATTTTGTATACAGGTTGAATGGCATCCACATTATTACCAAACTGATTTGTTAAACTATTGCGAAAGTAACAATATTCGTCTTCAAGCCTATTGTTCTTTTGGAGGATTGGCGATAAGCAACAATTCATTAGTGGACGATCCAATAATTAAAGATATATCTAGAACATACCAAGTTACTCCGGCACAAGTTCTACTCGCGTGGGCTATTCAAAAAGGAGTTGCTGTTATTCCAAAGTCGACTAATGAGCATCGAATCAAAGAAAATATTCAAATCAATTTTAGACTTTCACAAAACGATCTCTCGCTAATTAACAGCCTTGGTTCCATAAACTGTAAGTATGCTTGGGATCCTAATCCTATTGCATAAGTAGTTAATTACTAAATTGTTTATTATCTGATTTCATAGTTTCAATGAAATATAAGATACTCGTAAATAGTAAGATGAGTTAAAGAAATATAAAATCATAGTAAATTTACTATGTATATTTGTAAAATTATGGTTCCATAAATTAAAATATATAACAAGCTATTTTTTTTATTTTTGGCTTTAAGCATTAGCCTGGTAGCATTACTCAAATTTTTTTATGAAATAAATATAAAGTTAAGGTTTTGTACTATTGAGATCAGTTGGTTGCTAATCTAAAAACTGAAGCACACAATGAACTTCAAACAAAAAATAATAAAATGAACTGAAAATGAAAAAATGAATGAACTATTGAAGTCATAACTTTATAAGTACTTACTAGACGTACATACACCATAATATCATGTAGATAAATTTGAAATAATTATTTATCATTAAGGGAGGTCCCCTTTCGTACGATATAAACTATTCCTAACATATGACTGAATGCCAGCTTTATCTATATTAAAACGGCATATTATGTACGTAGCTATGGTATTTAACTTTGTCGTAAACAGCACGTCTATTGCCTACTAAGGCGATCAATATTTGTAGGCTGTAACCATATATACAATATATACATAATTATGTATATACGTAGTGAATTAAAATTTTTAACGTCGTTATTATTATCGATGTAAGTATGTAGTGATATATTGCGTTTAGAAAAATAAATAAGCTTTTTAATCTTTATATAAGTTAATAAAAGTAATATTTTGGAGAAATTTCTGTCAAGATTGTAAACATGTAATATCCTTCACTTTATTATATCTACCAATATATATACTACTTGTAGGCACAAGAACTTTATAGATGTGGGCTTGATCGATTGTGGTCGGGATGTGGTTTAAAATGTGTGTTATATTTATTTTATCGATATCGACGTTACTATGCCACCCCTATCAAAATCCAAACACTGTTCTGCATGTACTATAGATGGACAAAAGTAGGTGTGTGATCAACAAATTGATTTAAATAGAAATATCAACCTCATATTTTTTTTATTTGTATTGTAGACAAAGAGCTCGGGTTTGTTAAAACAGGTACTAGGTATATATAGTAAGTTCACTCTTAAACTCAACCGGTTAGACTAATAGGTATAACGAGATGACAAAAAGATGATATTATAACGTATGCTGCGAGAGTCAAGTCGAAACAAGTTTAATTCGAGCAATTAAATGAGGGGGCCATAGGGCTAAAGTGTTATTATTCACAGATTTTGCTACCTTTTATTCGCCTCCCTAATGCAGGGCCCGTACCAAATTACGTATTAATAAATTCAATCCAGTTTCCATTCATATGTAATTCGATGTTTTTGTAAGAAACTCTTTCTAGAGCGACAACTGGGTCGCAGATGTGCGCTGGATTGAGAAATTACAATAATATAATCGTGTGAACTCGTATATGTTTTATTTGAATTTCATGACCATAGGCGTCAGACAATATTATTCAAAATGGAATATGTACAATACACAATATAAATCGTTTGCCCGTTACTTTAAGGACGGTCTAAAACAAAAATATATAGGAATACACATCTTTATTAGGTACAATTGTTACACAAGCTCGTGCGCACGATTCCAGCACTATTGTCACCCATCAGCCACCATTGTTTAAACTGCGTGACTTAATAGTGTCTTAAGTGAAATATTAATTAGATATTTGTTTACGTGTCAATCGTTATATAATATTTATAGTAATAATATATCGTCATTCTCTGTTTCCTCCTCGTGATCTGCATGAGGAAATTGGATATTATTAAAGCATTAGCATCAATCAATACTTCGTATTAATGTGGTAGTCAAAATCCTCGTCTTTTTTTGTGAAATACTACATGTGTGGTCTAGATTCTTGTGAACGTGATGATGACTTTTGGTATACATATAGGTACATACATAATATGTATATTAAATAAGCTAGGAGTAAATATTCGTTTTTCAAAAACAGTCTAAATGAATTTCTTATATTACCATAATACAAAAACCAAAAAAATATATTTCTAAATCGGTTTTGGCGTCTTCGAGTAATCGGTGAACATACATAAAAAAAGATTCTGACGTATTGAGAACCTCCTTCTTTTTGGAAGTCGGTCAAAAAGAAAAACGATAAACCTAAAATATCCAACAAATAAAAACTTGTTAAGTAATCAATGAGTATCTCTGAAAGTTGAAACCTTATTTTAGGTAAAACATTAAAATTAATTTTTATTAGTACAATCTCATCAGCAAATACGCTGTACGATACTTGTACAGGAAAGAAAATAGTAGCTTCTAATGTTATATTTTCCTCTTAGTTAATTACTCATTATCCCAAGTACCCAATATAGTAAGTATGCCGCTTTCCTCAGAATTAAAAAGTTGGTTTGTGTAACCATAAGGAAATTTGGTTTCACAAATGACAACAAAACGCTGAGTAACAGTTTACTTGCATTTGTCATTTCCCAGAAATCACCATATACAGCTAATATGTAAATGGTCTTTAAAAGCGTATTCCGTTAAGTTCACCAGCTATTTTTATACTCATTATATAACTGCAATATAAATATTTCTTTGTGACGTATAACATTTAATTACAGAACCAAAAGCTTCATGTTTAGTGAATTTGAAATTAGTAAACTTTAAAGTTAGAGTTTCATAGAAGAACAGAGAATTAGTTATTAATTTACCTGATACTTTTGTTAATAATTGTATGACTATATTTTATTTAAATTTTACTCCAGTTTCATTAATACCAAATAAAAAAAAATATTAATATTTTATATAGTTACATTAAAATGAGTTTATTTTCATATGGCTCAGTCAATAAAATTCGATTCGATTAGGCATGGGACGACTTAAACCGATAGAGCGGATGGTCCCATTCCAGTCGAGTAACGGTACCACGCCGAGCTTGCAAATATACTGCTATAACTCACAATTCCTCTAATAAATATCATGTAACAATGGTCGCATACCAAACACTAGATAATCAATTTCACTGTAAACTCAGTTACAGAAAGATTGGAAACGAGTAACGTTGCGAGGGACATATTATATAAGGAACGTTACATAAGAGAGATTGTTATTTAATTTCTCTAAGACTTGTCAAAAAACCTGCTATCTCCATACTGGGTGTGTGTGAATCGTTCAGATGCAATATTCCCAGTGCAAGCGATGCCACTTGTGGCTGCGACATCCACCCGTTTAAGGCGAGGACGATCGCTTAGGAATGCGGCCGTACTTTGACTCCTCAGCTTAGGTTACAAGCGGTAATATGAGTTTAACTAGAATGTATCTTTAGTATTGCATAATTTCTAAACAAATTGTATATGCATTGTAAATGGTTTAGGTACCATCTTATCGCTTCCAGTCATAATTATATGCTTTGTTTATATGTTCCAGTTTATATGTAATACATAAGCGTTTGATTGTACTATTGTTGTGTTAATAAAGCTGTAATAGACTTGTAAACTCTTTTAAAAAGTGGATCATTTCATCGCATCTCTTCCTTCAAGACTGACATTGTGCTTTAAAACTTGTAACAACAGCGCAAGACAAAAAGTGTACAAGAAAAATATTTAGAGTAAACGTTAATAACAGTTTCTAGACTCTTGTGACTCACACCAAATTGAGTATGAATCGACTCATCCTTGCCAAGTACCTACCTAAATGACATTTATGCACTAAGGTATATGAATAGTTATTTAGTTTTATATCCTCTAGGTGCTTAGACTTAATTTAAAAAGCGGAATGTTGGAATATTAAAGTAAACAAGAATCGCAACGCTAACCAGCTGATAATCACAGGTTTTGAAAAGTTAGAAATTATTATGAAATTCTGTCTATCGCATATGGAAAGTGTAATTCAGAGTAATTCAAAGGTTAAGATGATATCAATGTTAGGGAGCTGGTCGGTGCTCCAAGCCATGTACGGGTCAATGCACAAAGGCACCGCCGACCATCTATGGAAGTGGAACATAGCATTAGCTGGCCATTCTAGTCTAACGGTGCCCTGCTCAAATATTTTAGCACAGTATTGTAACAGCAACTACATTCACATACGAATGTAAATTATAGATATCTCAAATCTAATTTCGTACCTACTCCTTATTGTATCCAGGTAATCTAGGTTATTGGATAGGAGCTCTAAAAGATATTTGCATATGCATAATATGTCTGTTAAATTTTAATTCGAATTTGTAATCATATTTATATTAAAATATGGTAATATATAGATAATTTTCCCGATCAGGCTGCACACTATTTCCATAGCACTTTGCGTATACCTACATACATATTGTTATAATATTTTTCCTATATATGTGTATATATATATATAAAAGAATATAATATAATATAATATTATATATATATATATATATATATATATATTAAGATGAATTTCGCTAAAAATCCATTTTTTGTTTAGTTATACATATATTGACCAGTGCGTGCTAAAATGCGGGCAATCGATTGAGAACAAATTTAGCGTGAGCAAACAAACTTGTTGCTAGTAATACGAGTTTCGTATTTACGCACCAATTTAAACATTCGCAATCACAAATAGAAATTGCTACTCTAGGGGTCTGGTATGTGTTGAGTCATCCATTTGAACGGAGCTTTCATCAATCCATCAAAAGGGACCACTCGCGACGACTACTAATATATTTTTTGCTAAAAATCTTTCAAATAATGCGTACAACTCCTCATATTTAAATTTACAAATGTATTTTTTGTGTATACACACTTACATATACACTAACTTTTACAACGATATGTTGAAGCAAAGACATTCGTCTAATGTCGTTGTGTTAAAGTTTCTGTGAAAAAAATTCAGAAATATTATTTATTTCTTTCTTATTCATTCAATACTATTTAATATTGTACAAGATATGCGGTAGAGTACTGTTAAGCTTAGGGGCATACTTTTTATTGAATAAAACTGCCTTTGTAGGTTTAAGTGTAAGTGACGGCAATTTATTTT